AGAGTTAGAAACATCGATGAGAGAGAATCACCGATCAGCTGCCTCTTGCACACCCCCCACTGGGGACGGCGCCCGCAACCAAGGTACATGCCCTTGACTGGAATTGAACCCGGGACCCTTTAGTCCGAAGGCCGATGCTCTATCCACTGAGACACACCGGCCAGGGCCCAGGCAGCCTTTTGTTCCTCATATGCATGAGGCCTGGCACCAGGCCCAGTTGGTGTTTGGCTGGTGTGAGGAGGTGCTGGGAGGAGGGGGGCCGCTGAGGGTCAGAGCCGGCACCTGGACGGAGTTTGCACTGAGCTCGGGCAGGCACACAGTAGCCGCCCCGGGAACGCTGAAGGCAGAGCCGGCCAGGCAGAAAGAACAGCACGTGCAGAGGCCCGAGGCCAGAACAGAGAGCACCGTGGCTGCGCCCCGCACGGCGCTCCGGGCCAGGGCCGAGCAGGCTGCCGCGGCCGGGCACTCTCCCCAGGGCAGGAGGGAGTGTGGGCTGGAAGGTGTGCACACTGGGCACCGAGCAGGGCCGTGGTCCTATTCCGACGCCGTAGTTTACGGGTGTCTGAGGGCTGAGGGGGCAGCTGGCCGCAGCAGGGAGGAGGGGGGCCGGGACCCTGGGGCGGTGGCTGCGGGAATGTCCAGTGTCCGGGGCGGCGATCGGTGGAGTCCGGTTCAGTGGGTCCTCCCAGGGGGGATGCAGGCAGGGCCCAGCCTCCTCGCCTCCTTCGGTCTCGGAGCTGCGTCCTGGCCTTCCTGAGGATTCTGGGAGCCTCGCCACAGCCTCCTGGGAATTCCCTTTCCTTTGAGGGTGGCCAGAGCCTGTGACTGTAACCACCTGGAGGGTGTGGGGTGATCCACAGAAGAGGGAAAGGGCAAAGAGGAGGATGTGGGGACTGAGGGGAGAGAGGGGGATGGGGAGAGGGGGAGGAGGGAGGGGCTCCTGGAATGGCACTAATAATGGCACATTTAAGGTTAAATACCCAATAGAACCTGCAGCGTAACTTTTCTTTTCCTGATTGTGGATTTTTTTGTTTGTTTAAAGTATTACATATGTCTCCTTTCTCCTGATTGATCCCCCTTCCCCTGCCGGCCACTCCCACCCCTGAGGGCAAGCCCCCACCGCTCCAGTGTCTGTGTCCATTGGTCATGCTAATGTGCATGCAGACAAGTCCTTTAGTTGAGCTCTAACCTCCCTGTTTTTTTCTTAAACAATTCTCAATGTTTTGATTCCCAGGCGTGAATAATAAATAACACTCAGATAGTGTCAACTATGTCAGGCACTGTGCTTCACAGGCACATATTTCATTGAATCTCAAAACCCATTCATTAACTTGAAGTGGCACCGTTACCCACATGCCACTGGAGGGGAAAAATACTGTCAATTCAACACACCTGACACACAAACCACATCCCCATTTCAGGGATGTTAAACACAGATGTCTTGGACTCAGGGCTCTATGGCCTGTATTCATTACCTTCAGGACAGCCCTTGGAGGTACCGATGAGGACCCCGAGGGAGGGAGCGACCGGGTTAACTCGCTCGGCCCAGGTGCCGTCAGGGGCAGGGTTTGTACCAGGCGCTGTGCCTCTGGAGCCTGTGCTCTGAACTCCATGCCTGGGCATCAAATAAGGCGTCACATCAAGCTCACCGCAGCCCGGGACTGGGTGCTGTGCGGGAGAGGAGGCTAGAAACACCAGTGAAGCCGCACTGTCCTCTCCCGGTGAAGGGCAATCCTGGACGGCAGCCCTCGGCCAGTGACTGTGGGAAGAGTGGCTCTGGCACTGAAGACCTTGTTTGTCTCCCAGAGAACATTGTGGTCCCTTGTGTGCGGCTCCTGGCTCTGAGGATGACATTTGTCCTAGATTTTTGGTGAATCCTCGCCTGAGGATATTTGCCCATTGACTTTTAGAGAGAGTGGAAGGGAGGTGGAGAGACACAGTGAGAAACATCAATGTGAGAGAGACACTGGTTAGTTGCCTTCCGCATGCCCTGACCACGGCTGGGAATCCAGCCTGCAACCGAGGCATGTGCCCTTGACCGGAATGAAACCCAGGACTCTTCAGTCCTTGGGCCGTCGCTCTATCCACTGAGCCAAACCGGCCAGGGCCAGCGATGGCATTCCTTGTTGGAGAGACACGATGTGTACATGGACCTGTCTGAGAAAACAAGCGTCTGGCACAGAAACACTGTTTTCATGACCAGAAGCCAAAGTGCGTAGGAAAAGAACTGGGACTTCAGATGAGGAGCAGTGAACGGATTCATTTTTACAAGAAATATTTACCGAACGTAGGCCCCACGCCGGGCACTGGGTTGGCCCCAGGGAACCCGCCGAGTCCTATCGCCGAGTCTAGATGGACGGAGTGGCCGGAAAAGCACGTTACAACCCACAAAGATGGCTGCCACAGGTTTGTTTCAATGTCGTTCAAAAGAACCCAAGAATGAGGGAGTGGAGGGTGTAGCTGAAACCCGAAGGAGGGGTCATGTGTGGATCATCAAGTTATGGGATACATCAGAGTTGAAGACATTAAACTTTTAAATGTTACAAACTTTTCCTTAGAAAGAATCAAGAAGGAGAAAACACAGCAGCGTGAAGGACGTGTCCAAAGGAGCCCACCCCCACCCCCATCCCCGTCCCCTGCCCGCGCCCCTGCCCCCACCCCCAACCCCACCCCCGTCCCCTTTTAAGAAAGAGTGGAGCCTTGTGGGCCCTTTAACAAGGATGTTGTCATTAGCCGTGGGTGGCTGCGGTGACTTTAAGGAAACCAGGGTGCCCGAGAGAACCGGGGTCCGAGCACAGATATTGGGGAGAGTATCACGGCCAAGTTCAGTATCACTGTGCTTGTAGGATGTGCTCCTTACATTTTGATAATAAAATCTATCAAAAAAGACATAATTGCCGTACAAGGTATTTGTGCGGCAGTGAAAGCACAGGAGGAGGAGCAGACAGGTGAGTTCTGATGAGCGGGCAGGATCTGGATACAAGGAGAAGGGGAAGGTGCTGCAGAGCCCAGATTAGCACAGGGAGAGATTCCAAATCAGAATGCCACCACGGGCAAGGCGGAAGGCAAGCCCAGGGGTCAGCGGGAAATAGAGTTGAATAAAATAGCGTGAAATGGACTGGGACCCTTCATTATTAAAGTTAGGAGCGGGATCTATTTATGTGTCTTACATCTAATACATAACAATAAGTGACAGATACTATTTTGCAGTTGGTGGGCATTTACAATTCATCCTTGAAAACAACAGAAGGAATGTTATTGTGCATAAAGTTAGTTGAGATTTCTTTTAATATATTTTATTGATTTTTTAGAGAGGAAGAGAGAGGGATAGAGAGTTAGAAACATCGATGAGAGAGATTCATTGACCAGCTGCCTCTGGATGTGTCTGCAACCAACGTACATGCCCTTGACCAGAATCGAACCTGGGACCTTTTAGTCCTCAGGCCGACGCTCTATCCACTGAGCCAAACCGGTTTCGGCAGCAGTTGAGATTTCTTGAGAGTCACCCTGCATGTTTTGGAAATAAGCGTCTCCCATCTTCGTGACTTGCTTAAAGGATCTATTCTATTGCCACTCTGAAGCCCGCCATCTTTCTCCGGGCACCACACTGCCTCCCCACGGAGGAGGCCAGTCCTGCGTATCAGTTACAAAAGAAACAAAACTGCCAAGTCCAGAATGCCTTCCCTGCCGGGCACGGGTACAGCCTGTGCTCAAAATGACCCACCGTGGTTACCCGTTAAGGCATCGGTTCCCAACCTTCCTAACGCCACGACCCTTTAATCCAGCTCCTCATGCTGTGGTGACCCCAACCATACAGTTATCTTCGTTGGTACATCATCACTGTGATTCTGCTGCTGTTATGAATCGTAATGTAAATATCTGTGTTTTCCGATGCTCTGAGGCTCTATAGCAGCGGTTCTCAGCCTGTCTAATGTCAGACCCACAGGTTGAGAACCACTAGCCGGGTCACCCAAGACCATCGGAAAACACAGATATTCACATTACGATTCATAACAGCAGCAGAATTACAGTGATAATTGTATGGTTGGGGGTCACCACAGGATGAGGAGCTGGATTAAAGTTTGCGGCGTTAGGAAGGTTGAGAACCACTATGTTAAGGGAAGTATTATGTTCCAATTTCAAAAGGACCCTTTTGACTTTCCCCTCCAGCTTTCATGTAAGCCCAGATTCTCAAGCCCTGGCCAACAACCAACGCGGTTCTCTACCAACCGAAGATCAACCAAATGTGTGAACTTTCCTAAAACCAAGGGCGTGGAAGGGGCTGTGTCTGTCGTTATGGCCACATGCCTGTCTGCAAGGACATCAGCTTTAAATCCGCTAATCTTCACCCCTTCTTTTACTATTTTACTTTTAAATTTCCTTCCTTAGTAGACGAGTGTCAAACAAATCCAGACCAAATAATATACTTTTTAAAATTACATTTATTTTCTCCCTCTTTCCTTCCTTCCTGAGCAAAGAAGACAGAAGGGCAGATAGAAACACCCACGATGAGAAAGGATCTTTGATGGGCTGCCTCCTGCGCGCCCCTCCTGGGGATGGAGCCCGCTACCCGGGCCTGTGCCCTGACCGGGGATCGACCGCTGACCTCCTGGTTCCTGGGCCGCCGCTCAAACCACCGGGCGGGCACCAAACAACACGTTTAACACACGATGTGAAGGAGCGTTTGTTTGTAATGTAACGGCTGCAGACACAGCGCGGAGAAAACACACTCCCGTTCCGAATTTCCTCCACCGCGCCCGCAAGGCCTGGGGTCCGCCCGCACCGCCCGCCTCCCCGCCCCGGACCGCGGCCCCGAGGGCGCCCGGCCGCCCAGAGCAGCAGGCAGCCCCGCCGCCCCGGCAAGCAGCAGCCCCGCTTCCGGGAACGGGCGCTTCCGGCACCGGAAGTGCGTCATCACCGCGCGCGCGCGCCGCCGCGGAAGCCCCGGGAGGCGAGGGTCGCGTGCGCCGCGGGGACGGCGGCGCCCACGGGGCTCTCGTGCCGCCATGCAGGTCTCCAGCCTCAACGAGGTGAAGATCTACAGCCTGAGCTGCGGCAAGTCCCTCCCCGAGGTGAGTGTCCTCGGGGCGCCGCCCCCGCCTGTCGGCGCTGAGCCCTCACCGGCCCCGCCCGGCAGGTGCGGGGGCCGGAGCCGGGCCGGCCGGGGAGCCGTGGGCGCCGGTGGACGGGACTGAGGGCGGGCCGGTCAGGGAGCTCTTCGGCCGCGGTTGGCAGGGTCTCCGGGACGGAGGACGCGTCCCTCGGCGCTCCTGTGGCCGTTCCAGCCGCTGTCACACCAGGAGCAGAGGTGACGGGTTGGCTGACAGGTATCTCCCTCATTTGAACGCCCGTTCAGATATAGTTTCTATGGATTTTAGGGAGAAGGGGGGGAGGGAGAGAAGTATCAGTGATGAGAGAGAATCCTTGATGGGCTGCCTCCTGCACGCGCCCCCTCCCCGCCCCCACAGGATCGAGCCCGCCCCCCGGACATGTGCCCCGACCTCCTGGTTCACAGGCCGATGCGCAGGAAGATGTACGTGTGAGAGTGTTCTTCAACACTGGGCATTCGTTTGAGAACTTTCCCATCTCCACTGAATGTTGAGATATTGAGAGTTTGCCTTCAAAGCGCTGGGAAAGGCAGGCTAGTCATTAAAAGGCCATAACTGTTCTTGAAAGTGCTGGTGATGATGTAAAAACGATGTTTAACACTTGGGGTTCACAAAGAAGGCGCTACAGACCCTGGGCCGCGCCAGGGCTGGGCTTTGGACCTTGCCGGCAGCAATGATGTCCTGGGCGGAGGGTGGGGAGGGGCTGGGAAAATCAGTGCTGCTCTCCCAACCGCCTGGGTGAGCCGTGCGGCAGGTCCAGTGAGCCATTCCCCGCCCCCGCGGAGGCTCTGAAGTTCGGGGTCTCTTCCTTGTCAGCGATGGTCGGGTTTGTGTCCAGGCACCTCCAGGGAGAGGAGACGTTTTGCAGAAGCGCGTTCACACCTGCACATTACTTGTTGGAGAGTGGTTTTCAAACTCCTGCCTTAGCCCCGCTGGCGTGGCTCCGAGGTGGAGCGCCACCCAGGAACCAGGAGGTCATGGTTCCACTCCGGTCAGGGCCCAGGCCCCGGGTGGCGGGCTCAATCCCCAAAGTGGGAGCGAACAGGAGGCAGCCCACCCATGATTCTCTCTACCATGGATGTTTCTCTCTTTCTCTTCCTCCCTCCCTTCCTCTCTGAAATCAATAAAAAAATCTAGATCAGTGGAAATCAATAAAAAAAATCTAGATCGGCGGTCGCCAGCGGGTGGTCCGAAAGGTTGGCACTGTGGGCCTGGGCCCTGCCCTGGGGGAGCAGTCAGCACAGCTCTTCCTCCGTGTCCCCCCGAAAGACCTGGAGCCGGCGATTAGCACCGCCTTCCTTCTGGAGCCCAGTCACAGGCCCCTGTCGTCCTCCATTCTTCAGCCGTGGCCGTGCTCATCTCGTCCCCCCACGTTTGCTGGGAAGTGCCTGAGCCTGGGGAGGCGGGTGCGCTGCCGCTGCGGTTCCTGCAGGGGAAGGGCCGAGTGAGCAGACAGGAGAAGCTCCCGCACGGCCGGTGCTGTGAGAGCGTGAGGAGGGAGGGCTGTGAGAGCGGGAGGAGGGAGGGCTGTGAGAGCGGGAGGAGGGCTGTGAGAGCGGGGGGGAGGGCTGTGAGAGCGGGAGGAGGGCTGTGGGAGCGGGAGGAGGGCTGTGAGAGCGGGAGGAGGGCTGTGAGAGCGGGAGGAGGGCTGTGAGAGGGGGGGGGAGGGCTGTGAGAGCGGGAGGAGGGCTGTGAGAGCGGGAGGAGGGCTGTGAGAGCGGGAGGAGGGCTGTGGGAGCGGGAGGAGGGCTGTGGGAGCGGGAGGAGGGCTGTGAGAGCGGGAGGAGGGCTGTGGGTGCGGGAGGAGGGCTGTGAGAGAGGGGGGGAGGGTTGTGATGAGAGCGGGAGGAGGGGCTGTGAGAGGCGGAGGAGGAGGGCTGTGAGAGCGGGAGGAGGGCTGTGAGAGCGGGAGGAGGGCTGTGAGGGGGGAGGAGGGCTGTGAGAAATGGGAGGAGGGCTGCGAGAGCGGGAGGAGGGCTGTGAGGGCGGGGGGAGGGTTGTGAGGGGGGGGGGAGGGCTGTGAGAGCGGGAGGAGGGCTGTGAGAGTGGGGAGGAGGGCTGTGGGAGCGGGGAGGAGGGCTGTGGGAGCGGGGGGAGGAGGGCTGTGAGAGCGGGAGGAGGGCTGTGAGAGCGGGAGGAGGGCTGTGAGAAATGGGAGGAGGGCTGTGGGAGCGGGAGGAGGGCTGTGGGAGCGGGAGGAGGGCTGTGAGAAATGGGAGGAGGGCTGTGGGAGCGGGAGGAGGGCTGTGAGAGCGGGGAGGAGGGTTGGGTGGTGAGAGCGGGGAGGAGGGCTTATGAGAGCGGGAGGAGGGCTGCGAGAAATGGGAGGAGGGCTGTGGGAGCGGGAGGAGGGCTGTGAGAAATGGGAGGAGGGCTGTGGGAGCGGGAGGAGGGCTGCAAGAGCGGGAGGAGGGCTGCGAGAGCGGGGAGGGAGGTGGCTTGCGAGAGGGGGAGGAGGCTTGTGAGAGCGGGAGGGAGGGCTGTGAGAGCATGGGAGGAGGGGGAGGAGGGCTCTGTGAGAGTGGCGAGGAGGGCTGTGGGAGCGGGAGGAGGGCTGTGAGAGCGGGAGGAGGGCTGCGAGAGCGGGAGGAGGGCTGTGAGAGCGGGAGGAGGGCTGTGAGAGCGGGAGGAGGGCTGTGAGAGCGGGAGGAGGGCTGTGGAGGGCCAGGCGCTTGGGATGCGGCCTTCAGGGAGGGCCTTTCCCAGGGGTGACATTCCAGCAGAAACGGGGGTGATGAAAAGGGAGAGTTTTCAGCGCCCAGAGAACGGGAGGTGTAAATGCCCACAGTGGGCATGCGCTTGGCTTGTTGGAGGGACAGAAGAGGCACGGGTGTGCCTGGCATGCTCAGGACGGAGAATGGGGCAGGTGACGGTGGAGAGGTTGGCCTCCTCGGCCCAGGGAAGAGGTTAGGGTTTCTTCGTGCTGTTGGAAGTCCTTGTTGGGTTTAAACGGGGCTGCTGTGAGCGAGATACCATGGCCGGGGAGGGCACGAGTGGGGATGGGTCAGGGCAGGGGCAGGGCAGGCGAGAAGTGTGCCTGTTGGTCCCATGGGTTGTCATGTGTGGGTGTCCAGCCGAGAGATAGGGGTGGGCTTGGGCTAGAATGGTAGCAAAGGAGACACTAGGACTTGGTGGGACGCGGGCGGTAGGCTCATGGGACTTGCTGATGGGTTGGCTGGTGGCGAGGAGGCGTCAGGCGAGGGAAAGGAAGAATCAGGAGAGAACTCTGGGGTTTTGGAGGGGGAGCTAATGAGCCAAAGGTATCAGGGAAGGGAGAAGGAGAGAGAGAGAGAAACATCAATGATGAGAGAATCATTCATCATCTGCCTCCTGCACAGCCTTTACTGGGGATTGAGCCCACAACCTGGGCATCTGCCCTTGACAGGAATCGAACCTGGGACCTTTCAGTCCCCAGGCCAACACTCTATCCACTGAGCCAAATTGGCTAGGGCTTAATGGCTTGTTTTTTAAAGTTTCACTTAAATAGGCCGAGTTCCATATATTAGTTATAACCCATAATATTTGAAGCTTACTGTTTCTCTTAGATTGATTAGATGTATTAGTTTTCCCTTGTTTAAAATAGGATACAGTTAGTACTAAAATTTTATTATCTAATATATGTAAATATGTTCAAGAAAAAAATCCAGAGGATATGTTAACAGTAGGGTTAGTATTACAGGATATTTTTACTTTCTGTGTTATGTATTCATGTAAGGTTTCACATTTTTAAAAAATGTGAGCATGTGTTATTTTGGCCAGCAGAAAAACAATCCAAGTAAATATGTTTTTAAATAAAGACTCTGTTTTCTCTAGTGGCTTTCTGACAGGAAGAAGAGAGCACTGCAGAAGAAAGATGTAGGTGAGTACTGCTTTCCTCTGCAGCCAGAGACTCCGGCCCTTCAGGGTCCCGGCTCTGCTGTGGAAGGGAACCTCAGTCTCCTGGCCTTTGCCGCTAGCTTGTTCGCTCAGGCTGGGTGAGACCAATTACCGGTATCCTATCAGCTGCCTCCTTGTTGGGCATGGCTTCCTGTGAGGAGGAGATGAATCCCGGTGGTCCACGTGAGAAACCTGGCACTCATTTATTGCTGCCGCACTCACCTGCACTCACTCCCTGCAGGAGACACACTTCCTTCTTCTTAAGAAATTGCTCGTGGTTGGTGCGAGTGTGGGATTTGGTTTTACTTAACTAAAAGCTAATGAGTGCATGGACTTGATTTTGGGGGCCCGTCCCTGCGGGCTTCTCACAGTGGAGCCATGCCAGAGGAAGTGGCAGCCTCGAACCATTGCCCGGCCTCCTTACTTTGAGCTCTGAAGGGGGCTCTACAGTATTAACAAAATAAATAAATAAAAGCGAATCGTTAGCCTTTTACTGTCTCACGGGTTATAACAGACCAGCTGCTCCTGTTCTCTTTGTAGATGTCCGGAGGAGAATTGAACTTATTCAGGATTTTGAAATGCCTACTGTTTGTACCACTATTAAGGTTTCAAAAGATGGACAATATATTTTAGCAACTGGTAAGCATCTTTTTGGATATGATTTATGTACATTTTATCTCAGGAAATATGATGGCATAGGTCACTTTTTAAATTTCCCTATCACTTCATTATAAAAAAGATTTGAAATATTGAAAAAGTTGTACAGTGAGCCTTCATTTACCCACCCCCTGGATTCTTCAGTAGTTTGCTGCATTTGCTTCATTACATGTCTGTCTGTCCACCCAGCACCCATCCTGGTTTTTAGGGCATTTCAGAGCAAATTGCAGATATTAGTATACTCCACCCCTACATGCCTCAGAGTATATATCATTAACCCCAGTTCACTATTTACTTATGGCTTTTTAACGTAAATTTACATACGTTGACATGCACAGATCTGAACTAGGATGCGTTTTGACAAATGCAACACGTGGGTAGCCAAAACCGCTCTGAAGGTGTAGAGCACATGTGTCAAACACAAGGCCCGCAGGCCAAATCCGTCCCGCCAGGCCTTGCAATGTGGCCTGCACCGCGCTGTCATCACTGCACTCCGCTGCGTTTCCATCACAATGACAGTTTATGACTGTTCAGTAAACCATTCGGCCCGAGATTTAGGCTGGATTTTAGATTTTGGCCCCTTCTCTGATTGAGTTCGACACCCCTAGTGTAGAGTATTCCTTCACCCAGAAGCTTCCTTGACGTCCCTCACGGTCGGCCCTGCTCCCACCCCTGCATAGGCACCCACTGCTCTGCCTTCTCTTTTTCACTGCAGACAAGGTTAGGCTGCTCTAGAACTTTATTTAATGCGGCCATGCAGCTGGGGCTTCCTACTTGAGATTTATGTGTTGTTATGTGTGTCAATATGTTGTCCTTTTTAAATTACCAAGTGGCATTTCCTTGTAGGCAGAGACCACATTTTCTTTTTCCTTCTCCATCCGTGGACACTGGCCAGGCCCTGTGTTTTGGCTGCTGTGCACAAGCGCCCTGTGCTAGTATGTTTGGAGGACATTGCTAGGTCCCAGGGGAGGTGTGTGTTTGGTTTGATAGAAACGGGCCAGGCTTTTCACCAAAGTGGTCAAATCGGGTTACACTCCCACCAACAATAAAGGAGAGTTCCTAGAAAGGTCACTTTCAACATAATTTGCTGTGTCATATACTGAATGTTTCCATGTCACTAAGATTTTACATTAGCAGTGTTCATCGGTATCAGAGCCATGACTGTGAAAACATTTAATGTGTTACAATTTAAAACATTACCACCCAGCCAGTTTTGGCTGTGATTTTGGTGCATATATCCTATGTATTGTCCATGTACATTATTTTGCTGGCTTAACGTTATCCACCTTTGTCCCCTTTCAACCCCTTTGTTATTTGACAGAACTTCTGTGCATCCGCATGCCAGTCTCTCTGGTTCTTTGGGAATGGTCGTTTCCGTAGTAACACTATGTTTCCTAGCCTCCGGTTTTATATTTAGAATAGACACAGTTTTATGGCTTATATAATATAATAAAGAGCTAAGATGCTCTTAATACCATATTAGCCATTCTGATGGATAAAAGCAATTTCATTGTTAGCTTGTCTGTGAGGTGTGCGAATTATTTGTCTCACGTTTCCTGAGAGTTGCTTGCTTACATCCTTGCTCTTTTCCCCGGGGATGTTGGGGAGGGTTGTGTCTGAGTTCTTTCCCTTTGCTGTGGTACAGTGAACCTGATTACTCTGAACCAGGTGTGCTCCGCACATCTGCAGGGAGCTGACGGGGAAGTGTGTCTGTGGGGTTTACACCTCCTTCATTTCTCTATAGGAACGTATAAACCTCGGGTTCGATGCTATGACACCTATCAGTTATCCTTGAAGTTTGAAAGGTGTTTAGATTCCGAAGGTAAGTAAAAGGTTAAACTTGAGTTCATGAAACTAGCTTTTGATGTTTGGCATCTTTCCTGCCTGTTGAAACGGGAATGGGTTGTGCATTAGTTTTCTCAGGTGTAACAAATGGCCGTGAATACCCACTGAGGAGCTCCCGGGTCTGTGGGCGAATCCACCGGCTCTCTGCGTCCTGTGCGCAGGCTGCCTCAGGGGCCGGCCTGGTGCGACTCCTGTTCAGAGGCTCGGGAAGGAGTCCGCCTCTGGGCTTCCAGCTGGCAGGATGCAATTTGTTGCAGTCGTAAGACTGGAGTCCTGTTTCCCACCAGCCGTCATCCTGGGGCCGTCCTCCCAGGGCCGTCCTCCCTGGACTGTCCTCCCGGGCCGTCCTCCCAGGGCCGTCCTCCCTGGACTGTCCTCCCGGGCCGTCCTCCACGGACCGTCCTCCCTGGACTGTCCTCCGGGGCCGCCCTTCGGGGCCGTCCTCCCGGGCTGTCCTCCCTGGACTGTCCTCCCGGGCCGTCCTCCCTGGACTGTCCTCCCGGGCCGTCCTCCGGGGCCGTGCTCTGCCTCCAGAGGTGCCGGCTTTCCTCCTCACTGGTCCCTCCGCCTGCAGACCCCAGCAGCTCATTGGCTCCCCCCTCTGCCAGCGGAGAAAACTGCTTTTAAAGGGCTCATGTGATTATAAATCTCCCTTCCCCATGTCATGTGACAGTCACTGGAGTGGTGTCTCATCCTGAAAAGGGGGCTGTGGACAGGAAGGTCGGTGGGTCATGCTTAGAACCCTGGCCAGCACAGAGGGCAGTGAACTGGGAACATCCAGGCTGTCCATCAGGGAAAAAGATGGGATTGTATCCTAACTTGTTTCACACAATACAGACTCCATGTGCTGCTAATAGCAACTGTTTTCACTCTATTTTTGTTTACACAATACACTGTAAATGAGTACAAAGTTACTGTTATCCTTTCCTAAGCAACATTTGTGAATGTTCTGTAATACCTACTTTATTTTGAACATCTCAGAAAAATTGGGTGAAAATTGAGAAGTCATTATGTTTTGTGAATTTATATTTCATTGCCTTCAGTTCTGCAGAATATCTAATTGCTCAGTACTGGGGAATTAGAAAGCTTTAAATTTTCCATTGGTGTTTGGGAGCAGCTTAACATGGCAGCTTTGCTCTCGTTTTACGTAGGGGCAAAAACAAGAAAACCCAGCAATTGTGTATAATTTTTGTGTTGAGTTAGAATCTTTGCATTAAGTTTTCCTTTTTATTAAAAACTTGAGAATTGATTGTTTTTTCCCCACTGTTTTTTATTTTTCAGTTGTCACCTTCGAAACATTGTCTGATGACTATTCAAAGGTAGGCTTGATTGGTTTGTACTAGCTATCATCAATACACCAATGAGTGGAATTTAGTTTTATGATAAGTATCTATGACATTCCCATTGCTAAATTAAATGACTGTGTAGCAAAACCTTTCATTTTCTATAAATGTGTTTTAATTTATCATATATATATGTATAGTGTGTAGTATCTTTTAAAACTGTATATAGATAACTTTTTCTAGTTTAATATCAAAATAAAGTTTCCATGTCACATGCGAAACCTTACCTGTGTTTTTAAGAATTGGTAGCAGTCATGTTTAATAACACCATTAAACATGGCGTTATTTGTCAGGTTGCTTTCATATTCATCTGTGTAAATAAAATAGCTATGCTGTAGGTTTAATTTTATTAAGCCTGCAAATAAAAGATCACAGCATATCCCGAAACAGGTAAAAAAACAAACAGCCAATTTTATACATTTTTTCTTTTCTTTCTTTGCCTTATTCAATTTCAGTGAAAAATTCTAAATAATGTCAGATGTCACCGTGAGGGAAATTGAATTTCCTGTGCTGACATGGCTGTAAATATTATGTTCAGTTCTGGAAACTATGGAGCATAGTTTGTCCGTTTGCCTGCGGTGGCCATTTGCCATGTGTTTGGGACATGTCATTTTATACTACATTTGGTCTAGATAGGGATAAATTTGCTTTTACATACCACCTGGAGGTTTTTTAAAAAAAAATATATTTTATTGATTTTTTACAGAGAGGAAGGGAGATAGAGAGCTAGAAACGTTGATAAGAGAGAAACATCGACCAGCTGCCTCCTGCACACCCCCTACCGGGGATGTACCCGCAACCAAGGTACATGCCCTTGACTGGAATCGAACCTGGGACCTTTCAGTCCGCAGACTGACACTACCACTGAGCCAAACCGGCTTCGGCACCACCTGGAGATTTTAAAGATGCCTTAGTAATACATTGAAGTTGAGTTTTTACAAGTTTATCGAACCCTGTGTGATAATTGTGAGATTATTAAGATGGGAAATTACTCATAAAAGTTAGTGAGCAGTGCTTGTGTTATAAAGTGGTGGTGCCACATAAGGGGGGGACCATTTGTTTTTGTTTGTTTATTTTGGGGGGGGCATTTGTTTTAAGCCTTTCAGTTAGAAGGCTAGGTTTGCAGAAAAACTGTCTGAGATGCAGGAAGGCGTTAAGTACCCACTGGAGAGGTTTGATTCTTCACACTGTAGTCTTGCTGGAGCGTTGTGCATATATACCGTGTGTTCACAGAGAGAGGAGGGGAGGGAGACCAGAGGCTTTCCAGCGTAGCCAGTTTTAGTGGTGACGACATACACACGTCACTGGAAACCTAAGCGAACCGCTTTCTTCTTTCGTTTCAGATTGTCTTCTTACATAACGACAGGTACATTGAGTTCCACTCGCAGTCCGGCTTCTACTACAAAACCAGAATCCCCAAGTTCGGGCGGGACTTTTCCTACCACTACCCATCCTGCGACTTGTACTTCGTTGGCGCCAGGTAATGGGCCCGACGCCTTTGTTTTCTCCTCTCCCCTCATTTCCCCAGACAATCGCTGTTCCAACATGGAGGAGGATTAGAAGAAGAGAGAGCCATGAGGCCGCCTTTCTTGCTCACAGGGTGCACTGCACAGTGACCGGCCCTTTCAGGAACGACATCCTTAACTCTCCCTGGCACGTGCTCTAACCTAGAGACATGGGCAGCCAATAGGGCATAGGAGTGGGGGAGTCCCTTTCCTAGCACCATTGCTTGGCATTTAAAAGCTTTTTATTCTTAAATGTTACCTTCTTTATGGTTATAAAAATAATACATATCCAACGTAGAAAATTGGGAAATATAAAAAAAATAATCACTCATCCATAGGAAACCCTTAGCGATCTTTTATTGTATTTCCTTCAAGTTTTTTCTTATACACACACACACACACACACACACACACACACACACACACGAGAGGCCCGATGCACGCAATTCGTGCAAAAGTAGGCCCTCCTTCCCCCGGCTGCCAGCACCAGCTTCCCTCTGGCACCGGGGCCCGGGCTTCCCTCACAGCCCTGGCTTCGTCCGGAAGGTCATCCAGAAGGACGTCTGATCTAATTAGTGCATTACGCTTTTATTATTATAGATGTAGGTATAATACATTTTGGATCTTGTATTCTCCATGTTATTGTAAGTAATAGCCTACCTAATGACTTCATAATATTTCCTTGGCACATGGGTAGTTTAAATCACTTACATGCTTGCACAAATTCTTTTTTAGGTTTAGAGTAAGTACACTTTTGTATTTTATTTTATTTATTTTTTAAAATATATTTTATTGATTTTTTACAGAGAGGAAGGGAGAGAGATAGAGAGCTAGAAACTTCGATGAGAGAGAAACATCGGCCAGCTGCCTCCTGCACACCCCCCACTGGGGATGTGCCTGCAACCCAGGTACATGCCCTTGACCGGAATCAAACCTGGGACCTTTCAATCCACAGACTGACGCTCTACCACTGAGCCAAACCGGTTTCGGCCACTTTTGTATTTTACAAAAGGAAGCTATGCCTTATGAGAGATACACATACACACACACACACACACACACACACACACGAGTGGCAAAAGCAGGTTTACAGATGTTTATATGGAAAAGAATATAATGATTAATAAATAATGCAAGAATAAATTTTCATGAACTCACAACTGTAAACCTATTTTTGCCTACCTTTATATATATTTCTAAAAATTCTATTTATTAGAAAAGTTTATAGTAGTTTGCCATATTTTTTGTTGTTTTTTAGTTTACCACATTTTTAACTTTATTATTTTGCAGCTCCGAAGTTTATAGGTTAAACTTAGAACAAGGACGCTACCTAAATCCTCTACAAACTGACGCTGCGTGAGTATTTTGCTTTAAGAAACCTGCAGTATTTATTTGGGCCAGGAGATGGAGCCAGATGCTCAAATTGTTATCAGGCAATACTCTGGGCAACTTAATTAAAAAGTAACATTAAGTTTTTTCTTAAACAAAAAATTTGCTAGAAGATCTGGTGATTTCTTGAAATTTTTAATAAAAAAAATAGACTTGAAAGTTTTAAAACTCACTAACAATTCAGTTTATTATTTTTAGTAGTGTTCTTTAACTTTCCCTTCGTGATTTTGCTTTGTGATACATTTTCTTGTGGAGAAATTGTGAGTTAACTTGGAATAACATTTAAAAATTATCATCTTTTATGTTGTTGCTAGCAGAAAGTTAAGGGTTTTTTCCCCCCCCATTTTCTTTTTATACATTATTGTCTAAATTTGTTTTATTTAAAGAGAAGTCCTTTTAGGAAGGAATCTGAATAATCATCATCATCATCATAATAATAATGTTGAGTAATAACAACAACAATAATAGTAAAAGGGCTTTCTATGCCAGGCATTCAGTATTTTATATGTATCAACTCATTATATAAACACATTTTTATGGTAGGTGCTATTATTGGCTACATTTTACAGATAGGGCAGCTGAGGCTCAGAGAGGGTAAGTAGTTTGAACATACAGCTAGTGAGGGATGGAAGCTGGATTACTCCTCATCTATGTGTACAAAGAGCTTGTTGGGTTTTCCTTCTTGCTCTCAAATGGTCTTTAAAGTTGGAAGAACGTGTAGTGATAAAACCAAGTACATTCTCACTATTTCTTTTCACATTGACTTGAAATGCTCTTATTTTATTTAAAATATAGTAACTATGATGCATTGTTGAATAATAAGTTATCTGCTCTTTAGCTGCACAGTTTTCTGTTTGTAATAACAGCAGTTATTATTGAGTGTCTTGTACACTCTAGACGCTGTGTTGAACATTTCTTAGTTTTTCCATTTAATCATCACAACAACTAAATGAGTAGGTGACATCTTCAGTCTACAGACAAGGAAAATGAGGCCTAGAGCAGTAAACCAGTTTAAACTAGCCAGACCTCAGGGTTGGCACAGCCACAGCCTGTTTTTTTTGCCTGGGGAGAAAATATATTGAGAAAGTGGAACGCAGGTTTATTCTCGTGGCCGTGGCCTGGCGTTCCAGGAGGAAGTTCTTCGCTGTCTCATCCCCGGGAGATAGTGTCACTCGCAGGATCGGACACTGGCGGCCGCTGTGCTCCGGGCACTTACCCGGCATGCCTGGTGTTTTCACAAGCAGATCAGTGAGCATCGCGCGTCCTCTCTCTCCATCGCACTTGGCTGACTGCTGGTGGGAGTGTATTGGGTGTCCCTCCCCCTGGGGGCACTAATATGCTCTCCGTATGGCTTTATGTTTAGGGAGAACAACGTTTGTGACATAAACTCAGTGCACGGCCTGTTTGCCACAGGAACAGTGGAGGTGAGCGTAACTGATTGATTGTTTAAAAGTGTTTTATGTTTAATGATGAACGAAATCATATTTAAAGATTTGCTGGGCTCCTAGGAGCCGGTGCTAATGAAGCCACAAGCCATTGCTTTGCTCTTTGTGTGGAAAGCTGCTACAGCTGCTGCACACCGCCCCGCTCTGCAGCTGATGGGGCGCCCTCTGACCCTGACCTGGAGCTGGGTGGGGAGTCACTGCTGGGTCCCAGCCTCTGGGGCTGTGTGGCTGCCGTTCTTGTTCTCACAGGAGGCGCTGTGTCAGGAGGCGCTGTGTCAGGAGCCGCTCTCCGCTGCCTGTTAGTTTCCTCAGTTACTTTCCCGGGGCTGTTTCCCGGTGAAGTGGAGATGGTGATCCTCACCCTAAAGGTCCTGGGAGAACCAGGGAGGCATCCTTCCCTCCAGCCCAGCCCTGAGACCTGGTGCCGGGGAGCAGACCCCCAGCCAAAGCCTGGCTTCCTGAGGTCCCATGGTGGTTGGGCTTGGGATTTGATAAGCATCGTATATCAGATTGCCAAGTATTTTCGAGGTCTTGTTTATAAAGTGGTTAATACTGTAAATAGTTTTTGACCTTTGTATATGTTTATGTTTTTTATCATTAAGGCTTTTTCTGGTATTCATCTAAACATTTTCCAGTAGCAGCCGCTGTTTGAAGCTGCTGTTTCTGTTGTGTAGGGCCGAGTGGAGTGCTGGGACCCGCGGGTTCGGAGCAGAGTGGGGCTGCTGGACTGTGCGTTAAGCAGCGTCACAGCCGATTCGGAGTAAGTAGACGTGAACTTGCAGTTTAAGTACTTGTCGCTTCTGATGTGTCAGCACTAAATCAAGGTCGGTTACTAAAGGATGAACCTCTTAGACTTGTGATTGTGTAAAAGCCTCCTGTGAAAGCTCTGAGCGGGTAAGCCAGATGGAATTCTCTCTGAAGTACTTTACAAGGCAGGGGCTAGGGACAGACCCAGGAGTCTCTGCCAAAAAGATGTGCTTCCCAGGCTGAGGAGGCAGGTGCAGACTGAGGCTCCTTGTAGTTCTGGGCTGAGGCTCTAGGTGGCGGAAGAGACAAGGGTGCTGGCCCTCCCCGCCTGCACTGCAGGGCCTGGTGGCAGGGACACAGGCAGAGAGGGTCAGAGGAGGATCGTCAGAGGAGGACTGTAGTTGGCTTCTGACCTGTCGGCTAGCACCTTTCCACCAGAGCGTGGCTTTGGTGCTGAAGCTCTTGGCTGCTGAGGGCAGCATGATCAGGTTCATGGCCAGCGCCATTCCTCACTCCGTGATGCTTTTACAGGTTCCAGGGCCCTGCGAGCTCCCAGTCTTTTATTTCAGCTTGACACAGCCAACTCTGAATAGGGGAATGGAATATCCCTGCCTGAATAGAGAATGCTTGCTCTTAGGCAAAAGGGCTGCTTCTGTAACTACCTCATCCTGGCTTAATGAGGGTGAGAGATGTTGTCAGACTGAGTCTTTAACTGGTTTTATATTTTCAGATGTTTTCATTGTTGTTTGTAGCTACTTTGAGAATATTCTTACAATTTCTAAAGATAACCTACAGATTTCTGAAGGTTAATTACATTTATATGTAGACATTTTGATTTTGATTAGGAAAGCTTGGATGCGATTGCCTTCTAAAAAGGAGGGAGAGAGTGATTCCCCTTAGAGTTGAAGGAAAGCTTGAGAATCGGTGTGTTTCCTGGAAGAGGTTGGCTGTGTCCACGTGGAACAGGAATGCTTTGCCTTTCAGGGTGAACAGCTTACCGACCATCTCTGCCCTCAAGTTTAATGGTGCCTTAACCATGGCAGTGGGAACATCCACAGGGCAGGTAACAGCTTATTCTTTCATTATCATTGGTTAGTCATTGTGTTCTTTCCATACGGATGCTGTAGACCTCCTGTGTCCCACCCTGTATGTTTGGCCAGAATTCTATTAGCTCCTCAGTGGGTGGGCTGAGAGGCTCTTGAGCGGAACTACAGGCGCCTGTGTTCTCTTGACTGTGGTTCAGAACTATTTTCCCAGTGTGTCCTGGGATAATTCTGTGGTCAAAACAGTTTGGAATCTGCCAGATTCCCACTCTTGGAGATTCACAGTGCATTTAAATATCTATTGAAGGCTCTGAGAATTCCTGTAGACAAGAAATGCATTGAATAGATCTTTCCGCTATATGTTTGACCCAGGCATCTGGCTCTCCCCTAGCACTATCTGCCAGGTCCCCTGCACGGGTCATCGGGGCACAGCTCAGCACGAGTGGGTGGTGCAAGGGTTTCAATGCCTCCCTCCCTCCCGCCCTGGCAGAACCCATACATTTGTCAGTTAGCTCTCCCCTCAGATCAGGCCTGAGACCCTGCTTCCAGGACACGTACTGCCTCTGCCCTCACGGTCTGGAGAGGACCTGTCACCTGGGATGGAGATCCAGCTGCCCGGTTTCTTGCCTCTATGGCAGGGCTCAGAAGAGACGACCCCCCAAACACACACACACACACACACACACACGCACACACGCACACACACACACGCACACACACACCCGGTCATAGCCTTGCCATCACCGTCTGCCCGGAATCTCCCCCGATGTCTTCTTTATGTTTGTCACGCTGGCTTCTGTCACTCGCTGTGACCGTGCCTGGTACGTAGTAGGCTCTCAGTATATGTATTTGTTGAATTCCCAAATGACACAGATTCTTGTAGGCCTCCTTTCTGTTCCTCTCTCAGTGTAGCTCAGTGGCTCTCAATCTCAGTGTGCTTATACACTGCGCTCAGGCACTCTGAGGGTAACGTAGGAGATCTCTCAGAGCGCTTTGCTGGCTGCCTGGGGCCTTTGTGCTCATAAAAAGGCACGTGGCAGGACAAATGGCAGCCACCACCTTTGTAACTTAAAAGTTGCTTAAGGTAAAGCATTTAATTTGTTTAAACAGAAATAACTTATTTTTTTCCTTTAGGTCTTATTGTATGATCTTCGCTCAGATAAGCCACTGCTAGTTAAGGATCACCAGTATGGGCTGCCCATCAAGTCGGTCCATTTCCAGAATTCTTTAGATTTGATTCTGTCTGCAGACTCTCGAATTATCAAAATGTGGAATAAGAACTCAGTACGTATGTTTTTGTTGAAATTTTTATTGAAATAATATTTCCTTAAGAATATTTGATGTTCTGTCCCTCAAGCTCCAAGTATTAATTAATAAGTAACAAAATCCTAGATCACTGGCTTTAATCTGCCTCTGCTTTTCATTTCACAACCTAAGTATTTTGAGAAGTAAAAGGTTAGTTCATCAACTAAATAGGAAAACATTCACTCAGAGTTCTTTGCATTTAATTAATAACGAACTTAACATCTGTAGTCCAAAAGTGTCACCTTTTATTTTTATTTTTATTTTCTTTTAACTCGTTCTTGAGAGGAAGCGGCTGGAAGGTCCAGCGGCCTCACGTGGTGTCCACGGGGCGAGCACCAGCCTTTCCCGCGAGGCGGCCCGTGCTCGGGGAGCGGTCCAGCAGCCCCATCGCGGCGCGGCTCCTGGTCACAGTCCCTGGTGCACGGCCATTGGTTTCCTGCTCACTTTCTATTTGCCCCCAAGCATTGGCCTTTCCTGAGCTTACGTCCTGTCCCCCCTGTCCCCCGTGTCCCTCCCACCAGGAGTGCTTGGCTCCGGTGCCTCGGCTGGCTAGGGGAGAGGAAGGCTTCCAGCTGGCCCAGGAACCCACTCAGCTGCTTGCATTGGCTGTGGGTGGGGAGGGTTTTCGTGGGAGGTTGCGTGGTGCTGTGGGCGGGTTTTCTCTGTGCTTTTTCTGTAATCCAAACTCATGCACTTAAATAGTACTTGTTCTTAACACTGCAAATGGGGACGTTTTATTTTCTTTGATTCATAAAATATTGGGGAAGTAGAAGTTGCCCTTGATCTGGCTTCCCTGCTGGTTCAAGGTAACGCGTGACGTCAGTTTGGATGGGTCCTCCCAGGCTCCGAACTGCGGCAGGTTTCTCTAATGCGGAGTTCGTCGTCTTGGCCCCACACTGTTAGTCTCTTTCCCCTCCTTTTTCCTTCCCTCTCCTTCCTGCTTCAGTGAGAATTGGAGAAGAAAGGAGGCAGCTGTGTGAATCTCGTTGTCTTGTATTAGAAGTCGACTGCTGTTTTTCACTGAACACACAAGACCCGCCTTCCCCATGCTTTACCCCCTCCCCGCCCACCCTTTGCCGCGGAAGCCTCTGCCAGCGAGCTAAGAGCCGAGCGGCGGGCTTGCATTGGCTCTCGGCGTCATGGCTGTAGTTGCCACAGTGAGCTTTATTTTGGCGTTGTTGTTATGACTAAGTGCACCCTCTTGATCAGCACCCACGTGTCTTGGTTTTGCTTGACTGGCTTTCCTTGTTTATCTTTCTTATCACCTTTTTCCATACCCATCTTATCTTCTGTCTTTCTGTCTTTCTTCTCTTACTTTCTTAAAAAATATATTTTTATTGATTTCAGAGAAGCAGGGAGAGGGAGAGAAGAAACATCAGTGATGAGAGAGAATCATTGATCAGCTGCTTCCTATGCATGCCCCACCCGGGATTGAGCCCGCAACCCAGGCATGTGCCTTGACCGGAATCCAGCCTGGGACCCTTCAATCTGTAGGTTGATGCTCTATCCATTGAGCCAAACTGGCTAGGGCCATTCTCTAAATTTTTAAAAAAGCACATTTCCCCTCTCATTTAAAATAAAAAATGTCTTAGGCTTAACTATATAATAACCATCACTTTATGTATTTACAGGATTTCGTTTTGCCAGTCATTTTGTGTTCATTATCTCATTCAGTCTCCCAAAGCCTGTGGTTTAGGTACGGGAGGGGGTGTCCTCAGTTTACCATGCTGACCACCTCACCTTTGGTTTCCCTGAGGAACAGGTTTAACCAGGGGGTGTGTCCCAGGTTAAGAGAATTTTTTTTAAGTTGATGTACAACTTTATTTAAACTTTACCCTTTTCTTTTGTGTAGACAGTATCTTTAAACTGTATTTTCTTCCATAAGTCTCCTCTTCCTCCTGGGCCTCAGTTTCTTTGTCTCTAAAATGAAAAGTATTTGATAAATTGATCAAATGAATCCTCTAAGGTGTATTTAAAACTTAAATTCTATGATTCTAATGAGACGATTGTATTTCTTCATATACCAGAGTTACCTCTCCACACGGGAGATTGCCAAAGGCTGTCTTCCTTTAGCTCATTATCGATTCCTGTTTGCTTCTCTTTCAGGGAAAGATATTTACCTCCTTGGAGCCAGAACATGACATCAATGATGTCTGCCTCTATCCCAACTCAGGTATGCTTGCGTAGCCGTGGCTCACTCAGCGAGGCAAATCCAAGCTATGCTTCATTTGGTTTTAAACTCAGTGTATTTCTTAAGACAGCGTTTAGCTCTGTCAGGACCGCTCTTGGCTATTGTATGGACTTGAAGAGCCAAGAGCAGGAAGGGGTGGGTGACTCAGAAAGTGGCCCTCTCAGTGACTCAGTCCTCGGCCAGCCTGGCTGTCAGTAGGAGCCGGTGACAGAGCGTAGGCAGGGGCAGTGAGATGCTGTTCCAGCTCCCTGGTGTGATGAGTGATCGTGCGTGCGTGGGAATCCAGGTCGGGCTGGGAGAGGTCCGAGGTTGCCTGGTAATACCCAGGCTGTGAAACCACGGGTGTTGGCTTGTTGTATGCAAATTACAAGGCAGATTTCAGGATCTAACAATACCTTCCGGGCAGATCTATGAAGACTGGGGGACTGAGAGAAAGTGAGAATAGTATCTGAGGACAGAGACGGGTAATTCTGATAGAGACGCAGGTGGAGGAGGAAAGTTCCATCGTGTGCAGATAGCACTCTGACCTGCTGGCAGGGCCTCGGCGGCAGCAGCTGGAGGCGGCCGTAGGTTTTCGTTGGTGCTGATGGTGGAGTGATGGTGAGGTTTGGTTGGCTTTGGGGCGAGATGGTCCAGGCGAGGGACAGTGCAAGAGGCGAGGGGACAGGGGAGGCTGCACTAGGATGGGACAGTGCAGCGAGGCTGCGACCTGATGCCACACAACATGTGTGGGCTGATTTGGGGCAGGGGAGGCGCCGCGTCCCGGTGCGGTGGCCCGAGGAGGAATGCAGCTGGAAGCCGGTGGCGGTGGACAGAGAGGCTTCCATCGGCTGCCTCCTGCGCTGCCCCCACTGGGTGTCGAGCCCACAATGCGGGCATGTGCCAGCGGCTTCTTAGTGCCTGGGTCAGCACCCAGCCACTGAGCCACTCCGGCCGGGCAAGGTGCTCGCTTTGAGTGACCACCAGTCTCTTCGTGGCAGGCGGCCACTTTTCTGGAAGGCACACGTCTTAAGGGATGTTTCTGGACAGAGACCATGACTTACAGTCAAATAGCTGATAGAGGCTAATCAAACACAAAACTAGCCAGATGGTTTATTCCATGTGACGGCAAGCACCGCAGGACAAGCACCGATGCCTCCCTGGGCTGGCCCGCGGCTGCCTCACACGCTCCCTGCCTCGCCCTTGCTGGCCCGCAGCACGCCTCCCCCCACGCTGCTCTGCTTGTGCCTCATCATTATGAGCTGAATCATGTTAGAAAGCCGAAACGTTTCCCTTTCTTTATCTTCTCTCTTACTCACTTTGGAGTAATTATAGCCGAATCATGATGACGGCTGTGGAATGGTTTTCGCATATGGAGGCCGCTCAGGGTATTGAGAAATGGCCCCGCCCTCCTGCTCCTCCTGCACTCCTCTCTGTTGCTCATTCAGCGGCTCTGGGTCAGGGCGCCCGGAGGCGGTGCTGCCCTTGGCCTTGGGCGCATCAGCTTCACTCCGGGCTTGCTGAGCTCACGGCAGGCAGGGCCCCCCAGCCTGTCGGTCAGAACCGCTGGTTCTAGACCACAGGCGGAGAGGACAGACTTCCGCTGGGGAAGACCTTCAGGCTTCACGGTTGTGCAGCTCACCTGCCTTCAGGGCGGGGGGACGGCTCTGCTGTGCAGTGTGAGGTCGCCCTTATTCCATCAGGGTGCTCCAGTGCAGAGGGAGGACGGGTTCGGGCCCTGCCCAGGGACATCACGTGTTCCCACTCAGAGCAGAGCTGAGCAGTGGGATGTAAAGCCCCTGGCCCGGGTTCACTCTCTGTCTCGCCCATCACCGCCTGCATGTCTGCCGCACCGCCTCCCCAGGCCGGCGGGCCGTCTCCTCACTTCCAGCTGTTTCAGGCCTGACCCCCGGTCGGAGGTGGCTGGTCTCTGTCCACGTGTGGCCCAGTGAGAGCCTGCTCCGTGCGGGAACGTGACTGCGTTGATGCTCTGGCGGACAGAGCGCCGTTCCGGGGTTTGTCGGGAGCTGTGGCTGTTCCTCGCGGAGCGGCCCTGCTGGATGTTCAGTGTCCGGGTTGCCAGTGCAGCCAGGCGACGGGCACTGCTTCGGCAAGAGCCTTCGCTTGGTGGTGCATGGCTTTGCCGTCCCCAGAACGTTGTCTTTGCTCACGTCTCGGGGTCTGGAGGCCTGGCCTCGCTGCCGTTGAGACGTGGGGAGCATCGAGCATCACAGAGCTCCCGTCTCCTGGGCCATATACTGCGGCCACATGAGTACAAGTTCTGAGAATGTCTCTCATTTTTGATTTGCTTTAAATTAGACACCCATCCCTGCTCTTCCTGACCTCGCTGCCTGCTTTGGGTGTTTGCATGGTCGGTGTCTTGGTTGGGGAGGTGGGTCCCAGTTTAGGGCCAGCTCCCCCTTTGGAGTCGTGTCCCCCCAGATGGGCTTCAGCTGAGTTCCCCTGGGCTCTGTCAACATCTCATCCTGTCACTGCGTGAGGTCACTTCCGCAGCTTTGTGTGAACAAAAGAGCAGCAAAAGTACTTTTTTCAAATGTAGAATCAAAGCATTGTCCTTACCATTTGGCATATTTAGTTTTGATTATTGGTGTGATAATCCAAACATCTTCACTCTGTGGATTCCTCTATTGTATTTTACGAACGGATTTTTAAAACAAGTATAATTTGGCTGATTTTAAAAGTGTTTAAAAAACAGTGCTCTTGACTTTGCACTTGAGCTCTAAGTTCCCTAGCTTGTGACAGTTGCAGTTCTGAGCTCTATTTGTTCATCTGTGGAAGAGGGTGATGGTGGTGCTCACCTCCCAGGCGGCTCTCTGAGATCCTCAGGGATTCCGACGGCTGCTGACCCAGCTTGTTAACTGCCTGGTGTGAGGGCTGCGAGTGGGGGCAGCTTCAGGGACTGGAAGCATCCGTGGCCGATGTGGCGCAGAGCAGAGGGCGCAGCTGAGGCCCGGCACGCTGGCTCCTTACCGAGGGGGCTCCGCAGGCTGCTCTGGCTTACAGGAAACCTGGATCGGGTGCCAGGAGGTTGTCCCTGCTGTAACTTGGCTTTCTTAAAATGCTGGCCCGAGGGACTAACTCGTTAACTACTCTGCTGGTTAACCTGTTAAAACTCCCGGAGAGTGGGTTATTTTTGTAGGTAGGAGCGGTTAGATTTCTGTTCTGGCTTCTCAGGTGTAGCTGCACGTAGCCTTCCCCTGAGGTGGTTTGTGTTAAGTTGGTGTGACCTTGAAGGCAAACATTAGGAGCTGCTTTGCTGTGACACTTTGTGGGGATGCTGTACCTTGGTCCTGCGGTTCCTGATGGACAGAAAGAAACCTCTCTTCTTAGCTTCCGCATTTTTATGGGTCACAGAGCACATTGACACTCTGCTATCTGTGTGCCTGGAGGATACACTGCCCCCTTAAGAACGAAGGCACACTGTGTGGCCTGCTGCTCTGTGGGAAGGCTCCTTCCGCAGCAGGACAGGTCTCCCTGCCTGGGGAGCCCCATGGAGGAGGCCGCAGCCGCCCCACGCCCACTCCCAGGTGCCGTGTGCACCTGCTCTGAGCGCCTCCGACGCTGCACATTGGAAAACAAGTGGAAGAGGATACTTTCCTTTTCCCACGGGTTTACCGTCTCTGTGTTTATTTTTAGGAATGCTGCTGACCGCCAACGAAACACCCAAGATGGGCATCTATTACATTCCGGTGAGTATACGGAGAGGCGCTGAGATATAAACAGGAGGGAGCTGTGCTTATTTCTACACTGGACCCATGAGGGACTTCGGGTCTGCATGGGCTGTGTAAGTTACACGCCGCGTTCACTGTGCTTCCCAGAGCCGTTAAAACAACGCGTCCCCTTTTATGGAAAACCACTCCATATCACATGGAAATAGGCAAATTTCTTCAGACTTACCTTTGTTTTCAGGTATTTCATAATCTCACTCTCAGCTATTAGTGATCAAGGTCAAATTCTGAATAAAAGCCCAGTGCTCTTCTAGTCATCTCACTGTAGTTAGTTTCTTTTTAAAGTAAGTGACAGCCCTAGCTGGTTTGGCTCAGTGGGTAGATCATCAGCCTCCAGACTGAAGGGTCCTGGGTTCAATTCTGGCCAAGGACACATGCCTAGGTTTTGGGCTTGATCCCCAGTAGGGGGCATGCAGGAGACAGCCAATCAGTAATTCTCTCATCATTGATGTTTTTCTCTTTCACTTTTCCTTCCTCTGTGAAATCAATAAAGAAATACATTTAAAAAAAATAAAATGAAATAAAAAATATTGATATATAAAAGAAACTTAGTATTGACATGAGCAATGATGGCATGCAGTTTGCAATCCTATCGTTTGTTTTTAAATATATTTTATATTGATATTTTACAAAGAGGAAGAGAGAGGGATAGAGAGTTAGAAACATCAATGAGAGAATCATCCATCAGCTGCCTCTTGCACAACCCCCACTGGGCATGTCCCACAACCAAGGTACATGCCCTTGACCAGATTCGATCCTGGGACCTTTAAGTCCACAAGCCGATGCTCTATCCACTGAGCCACACCGGTTTTGGCTTGTTTGTTTCTGAAAGAACTTTTCTCTTACCTTCCCTGAAAGCATCCCCACCTTTACCTTTTAGTTGACATAGGAAAGGAGCTTGGGGAATACGATCTAAACAGAATGCTGCAGAGCACAGAGTTGGCATTAGATTATGGTCGGCAAACTTCTCCCTTTCCTGAGACCTGGGAAGGGGAGAGTGAGGAAGCTGAAGATCAGAACCAGAGGGGCCAGCTCTTTAGAACCACTGTCAGCCTCCAGTTATGAAAATTCCCCATGTTTCTGATGGGCCTTTAAAAAGTATAAATTTGTATTGATTTCAGAGAGAAAGGGACAGCCCTGAATATGTTTGCGGTGAGGCCACCTTACCGCTGATGCCAAGGGCAGCGGTGCGGGTGGCAGTGGGAGGATTGCAAAGGTCGGAAGGCAGGCCTGGTGACCGAGTGGGTGTGGGGAGTGAGGAAGAGACGGAGCCGCAGGCAACAGCTGGGTCCCGCGTGGGTAACTCTGCGCGTGAGGAGGGCATTTCCTGAGTCTGGGAAGGAAGGGGAGCAGCAAGTCCTTTCCCCTTTTGTATCGCATTCTGCGTTTTATAAAGTGACCTTTGAAAGGAACGGACACCTGCAGGTTTTTGTTTATGCAAACCACGTATGCACATTCCTATTTATTAATATTCCAAGTGTTACAAAGTATGAGAAAGGAAAACCACTGCTTCCCCCTTGATATTATAAGCACTGTAATATTTGGATATACTGTCTTCCAGTTATGCTGATAATGTTATGTGTGCAAAGTCAGATTTTCCATGCAAATTTGTATTCGGAGAAGTATTCTAAGGCTTTACAATGACTTAATGCATTTTTAGTTATCTCCATCACAGAATCAGAACTGTAGGGGACCCGTTATTCACTTCCTGCTCTCCAGGCCTATTTCTCTGGGTGGGTTTTATGGTGTCAGCAGTGAGGATCCTGATTAGCCTGGGTGAACGGGCCGGATGCCAGCCAGGTGGTGAGAAACGGTTTTCTTGACAAGTGCTAGTTTATCTTCTAAGACTTTAATGTCAGCTTTCTAACAGAGATTTAACAGAAAGCTGTGAGAAATACCCTGAGACCACTCCCAGGTGACTGTGCGTGTGGGGACAGTGCGAGCACAGTTATTCGTGCTCAGCTAAGCCTGGTGCTGGGACTTGTCCTGAGTGTTCCTTTCTGAGCCACGTCCGCCTGCTGCCTCGCACCGAGTGAGGTTCAATGCCACGGCCTTTGCCTGGAACCCGCTCTCTGATCCTCCTTCAAAGCAAGGCGAGCCCGGGGGCCTGAGCGCCTGCCATTTTTCATCAGATTTCATCAGATTTCATCAGATTTGCCGAGCTGGTGCTTGGCACAGGGCTCGCTGAGGCCTCCAGGACCAGAGGATTTGAATCCATGGATCATGCCAGGCAGAGGAGGCTTGGGCTGTGATTTATATTAGCATCTTATAAATCAGGCGGGAAACCATCTTCCCCTTTGGGGCTCTGCAAAAAAAATGAACACAACCTAATGTTCTTTCAGCTTGTTAATGTTTGCCTTTCTGTCTGATACCATCTTCCTTGAGCACTTAACCCATTATAGATGAAATGGAAGTCCTGATTCGCTCACTCTGCCACTTACAGATTCCATAGCTAGCGAGGCTTTTATGACCCAGCTAGAGGCCCGTTGCACGGAGATTCATGCGCTAGGCCTTCCTTCCCCTGGCTGCGGCTCGGTTTTCCTCCGGCTCCCAGGACTCGGGCCCTCAGGCTAGGCTCCTCCGCTCGGGCCCAGAGTGGCTGGCTTTTCCCCCTGGCCCCAGCAAAGAAGCCAAGCCTCCTCAGCCTTCAGTCTTCACTCTGCGCCTGCACATGCAAGTTAACCCACAACTTTTGAGTTAATTTGCATACATACTCCTGATTGGCAGATGAGTATTAAAAAAATATATTTCTTTTTTATTGGTGTTGATGGACTTTCTTCAGTCTTCCCTATTTTCTCAGTAATTCACTTTGCCTCCTCAGAGACCAAGATCTGTTATTTGGTTTGTGTGCTCTTTAAATTCAAGGGTCTAATTCACTTGCTACTCCTGAGACTTAAGGCCAGAAATTGTTTTTCAGGTTTGGTTTTCCCCTGAAATGTAATTTAATCTCAGGTTGGTTCTTTACTTAGCACTGTTGGCAACTGTGGACTCCCGAGGGCCTTCGGTCTCCTTCGGCACCCAAACCCAGCCAGCGGTTAGTGTCGGTCCAAGGTTAGCCCCACGTCCCCCCGGCTCCTGAGCACTCATTACCGGGTAGCTGATTGCTGGCATGCCCGATAACATGTATGCCAGAGGATAATTTTATACGTTAGGATAAGGATCAGTTCCTTTGCTCTGACAATACATCTAATCAGCCAGATCTGAGAACCTGATGTGATGCAACCGTGTTTGGGAGTGCTGGCAGATTCCTCAAAGTGGTGCCTCGTCCCAGAGATTGCGCGGTGATTCTGTTAATGGCTAACAGAAAACCCAAAAAGAGAACTTGAAAGTAAGGGCACCACTTTTGTTGGATAATTTTAAAAATTTGTCCAAAAGTTGGCTGTGCAGCTGGGACTAGACTGTTTTAAAAGCAGTACCTTTGTTTTCCTTCCTGTGTGACCCTGAGTGCTGGGCTGAGCCTCCTGTGATTTGGGTTTCAGTCGGGACCAGGATTGGCCCAGTGGATACATTTCCGTTTAAAGCCAGTTCTGCAGGCTCACTTACATTTGCTGCCTTAGTATTTGGAGAATCTCCGGACACGGGCGCTCTTTGGCCCGCTAGTGTATGCTGAGACAACCCTGAATATATCAGTGCTCATGTAGAACCCTGAAAGTGAGGATCACATTGTCATCTAAAATGCTCCTTCAGCAGAGAGCTAATAGTCATGGTGCCAGAGTAATTTTGTTAGAAATCCCCAGTTACAGAGCCAAAAGCAGCATATTCTCCTGGCACAGGGAGGTGGTACCGGGTGCAGAGAAAATTGCTCCCTGGGGATTGCCAGCCCACAGAGGAGGCACAAGACAGAACACAACGGAACAAGCAGGTGCTGAAGTGTCTGCACCCAAGGGCTTTCTGTGTGCTGTAAGGAACAGGGGAGCTCTGGAAACAGAACATTCGAGCAGGAAGGGGGATTGGCGGTCATCTGGTCCAGTCCCTAATTTACAGCTCAGGAGTCAAGTATTTGTTCAAGGGCAAATGGCAGACCTGGATCTGAAGCCATTTCCTCCTTCACATCGCAAGGGGAAAGCTTAGATTTCAGAATTAGTCTGAACCGAGTTTGAGTATCAGCTTTGGCATTTACAAATTCCGTGACTTTGACCGAGTTCCTTACTCTGTCTGAGCTTTAGTTTCTTGGACTTCAGAAGAGGCGTGGTGGTGTAAGGAGCTGTGCGCAGTAGGTGTACTTTTTCATCGTGTGTCACGGGGCCTGGTCCGTGGTTGATGTCCATCTGGTTATTGCTGCTACAGTTTTTGCAACAACCGATCTCAAGGGGTCAGTGGCAAAGAGCACCTGCATTATGAGGATGTGGGCCTTTAAGTGCACTCCCGCTAAAGCTTTTAGAGAGAATGTGATTCTGAACAAGGTGAAGATGCGCGGAAAGGTTCTGGCAGATTCTGTGTGAGCAAGGACAATCTCTCAGGAATGCAGTATGGGCTGGCTGAATCTGTTGCAAACCATAAAACGCAGGTTGAGAAAGAACTCTTGCATGCCATTGGCTTTGCTGTTCATTATTGCAGCAGAAAGCCATGATGCAGCCTAATTGATAAAATAAGAAACGTTTAAAAGTGAAGTTCATTTCCCCCGTTATCTCCTCACGCTGTAGAAAATGGCAAGTAAAGAAAGCAGAAGGAAACTTAAACACCTTTCCGCCACCCAAAAGCAGACACCCTGACACTTTGCCGTATTTTTCCATCATTGTAGTCAGAAACATGATTCGTATCTTGCTTTTCCCCCAATTAATTAACATTCCCCATGTTATTATGAGTCTTGGAGATAATTAAAAAATGGATTTTGTATATGAATATAAAAGTCATCTATAGTCCCCCCCCCGTAGTTATTTTTTTTAAACGTTTAAATATTGAAAAGGAGATAAGAAAACTATAGTCTTACTAGTCAGAGACATGCTTACTACTATTTTTGT